GAGTATAAATATGGATGGATAAATTAATTACCTAAGGGAATTCCGTATTTCTGAAACTTGACATGGTAAGAATCTATCAGCTGTTATGATACATTGATAAACCAGTGCTTTCTTAATCCTCCCCCAAGAGCTGTCTTAAAATTCTCCCCACCTTGGAGAAACCTTTTAAAATATTAAGAAAAAGAAGCATCAAATGTTGGGAACTGCAAAAGTGAGCAGGTTCCTTATCTTTTTTCTAAGGCAGAGGGGTCAATTTGACGATGGTAGAAGTTACAACACATGTTGAAGTTATAACACAAATAAGGAAAACAACTGATTTTCAAATGTTCTATTTCTACATGGCCATCAGAAAACTAAAAGTGAAACAAGGTCAGCTAAACTCACTGCTTTCTGCATAGGAGGTATTCGGCTTACTTCTTTAGTTTATAGAGGAATTTTGTCAAATATTATGTAGTTATTGTATTCAGTGGTTTTGTTATTATCTAAGTAAAATAGAATGATTAAAAGGAAAATTTTTTAGTCTTTGGTATTTTCAGATAAAAATAATTCCTTCTCTGCTTACTTCTTTCCCGTGTCCATATCTGTTCTACCCACAGGGACACCAGGAGGCATGATCTGGTACCACTTTGAGCTATATGACTGGGTCAGAAATGGGCACCTGGCTGGTGCATTTAGAGACTACACTGATGAGTTTGAAGTTTTGACTTGGAGATTTAATTCCCTATCTGAGTAAGTCTCCTGAATGGCAGAAATATAAAAACTTAGAACTGTGACTCAAAAGCCTGTCTGTACAAATGGCCAATAAGCACATGAAAAGATACTCAGTATAGCATTAGTCATTAGTGAAAGGCAAATCAAAATCACAAAGAGATACCATTTTACACTACTAGAATGACTATACATTTTTTAAAGGGAAACAGATCATTGATAAGGATGTGGCAAAAACGAAATGTTGTGCTTTTCTGATAGAAATGCAAAATAATACAGCCACTGTGAAAAATGGTTTGGCAGCTCCTTAAAGAGTTAAACACAGAGCTACCATATGATCAGCAGTTTCACGCCTAGATATATAGCCCCAAACAACTGAAAGCTGAGCCTGAAACAGATATTTGTACATCCATGTACATAATGGCATTATTCACAATAGCCAAAAGGTGAAAATAACTCAAATGTCCATCAGCAAATGGATGGAAAAACAAAATGTGGCATATACATATAATGAAATACCATTCAGCTATAAAAGGGAATTCAATGTTTATTGATGTATGCTACAACATGAATGGACCTTGACAACATTATGCTAAGTGTAATAAAGCTGACACAGAATGACAAAAACAAATTGTATGAAACCTTCTGTGTGGCATATCTAGAGTAGGAAAATTCATAGAGACAGAAAGCAGAATAGAGGTTCCCAGGAGCTGGAAGGGAGGGTGAGATGAGGCATTCGTGTTTAATGCATGCAGAGTTCACACTGGGGATAATGAAATGTTTTGGCGTGTAAATAACAGGAATGGTTACCTAATATCATGAATATATCTAATACTACTGTGCCGTGTGCATGGCTAAGTATGGCCAGAGTCATGGGTTGGTAAATGAATTTACCAAGACAGCCATGAAGTTAGAAAGGCAGATGTTTTAAAGGGAGGATAGGTAGTAAAGAGCACAACGGGCAGAGCAGCAGAGAGAGAGTATTTGCTGTCTGCAAGGAGGCAGAGGCAAAAAGGGCATTTTTACAGAGCTGTGTTGCAGTGCCAGGCTGTGCTGGGAGCTTTAAAGTTGATTTTTCGATGGCCATGTTTTCTTTCTTTAAGATGGAGTTAATTAATAGCAATGGTTAACTGATGTTTATTGATTGTGGAACTAACAGCAAAGGGTTAACTTCTTTTTGTTTACTGAGAAACTAACAACAAATGTTTTACAGTGAATCTGTGAACTTTTACAATTCTTGCTGTGGTCAGTAAATTTATTTGTAACATTTGTAAACTTGCATCCTTAGATTTCCTTCCTCAATTTACCCAATTGATACTGGCTTAATTGGGCCTCATATTTCTCCACAAGCTGCATTTACACTTGCAATGATTAAAATGAGAAATCTTATGTTAGACATATTTTACCACTACGTGTGTGTGTGTGTGTGTGTGTGTGTGTGTGTGTGTGTGTGTGTGTAAATTTTAAGCCTGCTTGTCCAGGAAAAAAAAGTTAGAGAAATAGAGAAAAAGGAGGTCTCTGAGGCCCTAACAGCTTTCTATTTTATCCTGGGGTCAATCTGTATTTTTGTCTTTAGGAATCTGTGTCTTCATATTTTTTAATTCATCCTTAAATAAATAAAGCATTTGTTTTTGCTCAGAATATCTTAAGTTGATTATCTTTACTTGAAACTAATCTTCACTAAACAACTTTGGTAAATTTTTAGGAGCAATTTGCTTTTTCTTGGTAACTGCTTATCTTCTCTTACTAAACCTAGAGTCCAGAGGCCAAAGGCAAGAAAAAGCAATTTCCACATTTCACTGACCTTGCATTCCCTAGAAGAACAAGGTTTGAATCACCTCCTAGTTTTAGCTTTATATAGGGTTGTGGACACTAAAGAATCTCACAGAAGCAGAAGTACCTATGAAGACTCTGTCTCTGGGTTTAACATTTGGTGCTGACACCCTCTTGATTGAAGTCATACAGCAACAAAAATCTAGCAAGTAACCTGAGGTATTGGGGTGAGTACCTGAGACATGTGCAAGGAGTTTCTAAAGCTGATTTTATCTGAGATCAACTAAAACTGATTAGTGAAAGGGGTACAGACTGTGCTGGCTGATTCTCTGTGGGTTTTTTGCCCTGAAAAATTGGGGGGATTCTGGTACAGGATCATATAATGAATCATAGTCAATATTAGAGTGTCCAGAGTCTGATATTGATGTAATTATTTCTTATTTTAGCTTATTGATTAATGTTTATTAACCCTTAGCCATCTGTCACTAGTTTTATCCCACAGGTTAAAGGCACTGGTCTGGGAACCCTACTACCTGAATTCTAATCCCTAGAAGCTTTGAATGTTATGTTATATGGAAAAAAGGATCAGTTTCTGAGTTGGTCACTTATTAGTTGGGTGGCCTTGAACAAGGGTTGCTCTCTAGTACAGTTTTCTCTTCTGTAACAACAAAGTCTACTTAACTTCTGGGATTGTTGTGAATACCAAAGGAGTTAATATATGTGAAGCACTTGGAATGTGTCAAGTGCTGGAATCTGCTAAGTGCTATCTAAATATAAGATATTATTATTGTGTGACCATTTCTCCCTTACTTTGTTGCATCTCTATAATTCTTTAATACTGTCTTGAATCAGAGCTTTCTGATCTAAGTTATACTACCCAATGTGTGTCATGGTTGCCAGAGGATTCTATTTGGAATGCAAATTAGGATAGGAAAAGTGGAGCCTGGGGAGGAGCTGATTTCCTAAGTTCCTACCTCAATGTGTAGGCAGAATGCATGGTAGTCTCTCTCTGCTTAGAGAATGACCATAATATAAGGTAATAAATTATATTGCTTTAGGTTGCAAGGCTGTTAAGGCCTTTGTCTACTGTCATAGGTTGGCTGTATCATCCTCTACCAGCCTAATTGGGTACCCATCTTCAAGCACCAAGGATATTTTGAAGATGAAGATGTCAATTGTATTTTGCCTAAATTTAACTAAACATTATCTATGGTGCCTTCTCCCTCAAATCTCTTACATGAATGTACTCCAACTGTCAATTTTATAAATGATCATTACCCTTAAGTCATAGCTAATAGGATTTAAGGTAAGCAAGGTCTCAAGCTTGAGTAAATTCTCTTTTTCATGAATTTGGATCCAAGATGCAGACATTCTGCCGAGTCTTAGACTGAGAATGTGTAAATGATAAAAGTACGAGGTAACTTTTCATAAAAAATTTACTTAATACTCCTATGTAGTAGGCTAAATAATGTCCCTCAAAAACTATCCAAATCCTAATCCTTAGAAACTTTGAGTGTTGTATTAAATGGAAAAGGGGACTTCGCCAGTGGAGTTAAAAATCTTGAGATAGGAAGATTACCCTGGATTATCCAGATGGGCCCTAATGATAATTGCAAGTGTCCTTATAAGAGGAAGGCAGATGGAGATTTAACTATAGAGGAGAAGAAGGTGATGTGATGATGAGGAAATCAGAAAGATAAAAGGTGATGTGATGCAGAGCCACAAGCCAAGGAGTAAAAGCAATCTCTGTGATCTGGAAAAGGCAAGGAAATTGATTCACACTTACAGACTCCATTTGGAGCTGGCAATGCTGACACCTTGGTTTTAGCCCCATAAGACCCATTTTGGACTTCTGACTGCCATAAACATGTCATTAAATTGTGTTGCTTTAAGTCTTAGTGACTTATAGTAATTTGCTATAGCAACCATAGGAAAAGAATGCATCAAATATAAAAATCATATTAAAAATTTAAAGTGAAATTACACAACTCAATCTAGCAAGCTTACACTGCTGGTTCCATACTTTAATTTAGTATAGTATCTTAAAGCTCCATAGAGGTCCCCAGAATTAAAAAACAATGATGCTGAGGGTTTTTTAAAAGTCCTTTGGAACACTTTGTAGAGGAAGTGGAAAAATACCAGAGAAGACACTTTTGAAAGCTGACTTTTTATTTTTAATCACAAAAATGTAGACTTTTGTCTTGGAAGAAGTCTTCTTTAAGTAATAAAGTATTGTTTTTAAAGGATTATCTTGGCACTAATGACTGGCATTGGGTGATTTTAATTCTGAGATTTCTGTCACTGTAAAGGAAAAGTATGACATCAAAGGACTGAGTTTTTAATTTTCTGTAAGAATATGGAAGAGGAGGAAGATAAAAATGTCACATACAGGTGGGGTTAATAATACACAGATACCAGGTAATTGAATGTCTTTTGTGCTAATGTAGATCACTGTTTTTGTGTTTCATATTAAAGTTTTTCCTCTGATTAGAAAGATTTGAAATGGACAATGACCCCAATCAACAATATTTACCGGGGGTGCATTTCCACTGATGCCAACCACAAGGACAAATCTTAAGTCCCACAGTTTTTGCTATCTGTTGAGTTTTCTCTTCATGTTCTGCCACATGTACATAAAATGGGATTTTTTGTTGAGAGATATATTTCTTTAGGTGATAACTAATTTGCCTCATGTTACCTCGGCCTCGGTATTTGGGGACACTGTAAGCCATTCGCAACTCACAGGACTGTTCCATCACAAGCCAAGAGATAGGCTGCCCTTCTGGACCCATCACACCAATTCCTGGAAAATTCTGGAGGCAGCGTTCAATGTATTTCAAGCTCCTCTCATTTTGCCCAAAGGTCCACTGTTCATTTATAAGACCTGCATGTGAGGCATCCAATAAAATGCTTGAAAAGTCTCCTTTCCTGCCAAAAAAGTGAATTTATTCAGTCAATATTTACTAAACTCTAAAATTACAGAAAATAAATAAAATGACACCATCCCTTTCCTTGAGAATCCTACAGCCAAGAGGAGGATGCAAATGCATTAAAAACTACTCTTGCAATGTTCCCAAATAATTGAGGGAGAAAACACTATGCACTTTATGATACATTTCATAGCAGAGGGCTAGCATGATGTATTTAGGACATATAAAATGTCTAATCAAGTACCCTAAGGGAGAAGATGAGCACATGTGCCTAAAAGAGTAAGGATATAGATCGGAGAACCCCTTCACATGGCTGATTTGGGGTTTTTTTGAGTCAGAGTCTTACCCCGTCACCTAGGCTGGAGTGCAGTGGCACACTCATGTCCATCACAGCATTGACCTGTTGGGCTTCAGTTATCCTTTCACCTCAGCCTTCTACGTAGCCAAACTGTAAGTGCACACTACCGTGCCTGGCCAATTTTTGATTTATTGTGGAGATGAGGTCTCACCAAGTTTCCCTGGCTGGTCTCAAACCCACGGGTTCAGGCAATTCACTCGCCTTGGCCTCCCAAAGTGCTGGGATTGCAGGCTAAGCCACTGAGCCCGGCGGCTGAAATTTTTTTAAAGACCCATGTATAAAACATGTGAATTTTGAATTCTACTCCACCAAACATTATTCAAGATAATGTTTCATGCAACAGATATTCCAATATCATAAGGAGATAAGAGTCATGTTGATCTTACGTTTTCATGTGTCCCAAAGCCCATCATCACATACTTCCAGTGAAGTACCAAAAATACAGTTTAAGAAGCACCAATATCGGAAAAAGAATATTAGATTTTTGGTGCTATCCATTGGGATTCTAATACTGATTCTTTTATTGGACAAGTTATCTGAGACTCGGTTTTCTCATCTGTAAAATCACAGTAACATTCTCTGCAGATATGGGGATGAGGGAAGCAAGACAATCTCCAAGAAGTTTTACTCCTCTATAGGGAGGACATGTTTTGAGAAGCTTGGCAGTTTCAAAGTCACTTCGTGTTTGCCAGTGAGCAGGTCACACGGTACTACATTTTCTATAGCCTTTCTTTTTGTTCCCTTCCGTGCCTGAACTGATCCTGGGCTTGCTTCCTCAAAGATCTCAAACATCCTTTCCTGCCCTTCCTAGAATGACAAGATGTCGAGATATGCATTTGGGCTTAGGGGAAAAAAATCACCTTAGGGAAAGTACTTTGTTCCAGGTTTCCAGAGTTATAATATTAAACATTATTTAATTTCCATTTATAATTGCTTTTGTGTGCATATGTTCCTCTTAAGAGTCTCTTAGGAACACAGCTGGGCCCAAGCAGGGTTTGAACAGCATTGACTTTCCTGGCTAAATCAAGTGTATGTGTGAGTGTGGTTTTTGTGATTTTTATTTATTTCTGAATTAGAAACACAATTATAAAGCATAAATAAATTGTTAATAGAAAGTAAGTCTTGCCGGGCTCGGTGGCTCAGCCTGTAATCCCGCGCCTTTGGGAGGCTGAGGTGAGTGGATTGCCTGAGCCCGCGGGTTCGAGACCCACCTGGGCAGCGAGACCTCATCTCTACAATAAATAAAAAAATCAACTGGGCATGGTAGCGCATGCCTGTAATTCCGGCTACTTGGAAGGCTGAGGCGGAAGGATCGCCGGAGCCCAGCAGGCGAAGCTGCGGTGGCCGGGAGCGGCCACTGCACTCCAGTCTGGGCGACAGAGTGAGACTCCAACTCAAAAAAAAAAAAGAAAGTAAGTCTTTCCTCTTTCTCTGATCTCCTGTCACCTAGTTACCTTCTCTAGAGGTAACCACTAATGCCAATATAATTTGTGTAACTTTCCAGATGTATTCTGTGTAATTTTGGATGTGTACATGTATTTGTTTACTTACACAAGTGATAACATACTATATACTCTGCTTGTCCACCTTATTTTTTAAAACTTTGCAATAAATTTTGAAATTATTTCTTAATTGGTTCATATGAAGTTACTTTATTTGTTATGGCTGCATAGTATTCTACTGTTTGGGTGTACCATGACAAATGCATTTATTCCTCTGGATGTTAAGGTTATTTTATATGTTATGGTATCACATAATTTCATGAAAGTCTCATCATCCAATTTGGTAATATCTTTCATTTAATATGCATATTTTTGACCCAACCAATTCAGTTCTCAGAATTCATCATTCAGAAATATTTATACAGTTGTAGAATGATCTATTTATGAAGATATTCTTTGCAGAAGTAATAGTATGTTGTATCTAATAATATGTTGTAAAATATGTAAAACATATGTAAAAAATATGTAAAACATAATATGTTGTAAAAAAACAATAAAAACAACTTACACACAGAGTAGTAAAAGCATACATACCTGTGTCAAGAATATGTAAACCTGGCAGAAAGACTGTGGGGAACCCAAGTGGACAGATTTTTATTGTTTACTTTGTATACCTATATACTTTCTGTGGCATGCAGTATTTTTGTAAAAAAAATAGTTTTAGTAAATAGTTTCCAATGCCACCATGATGTCCGTTATCCTCTCAGAAAGAGACTAAGTGCAAAGGTGTGAGATAATATGTGCAAAAGCTCATCTAATGAAGGCTCTGTCCATTCACTAATATACCTCCCTTCCTTTACCCAATTACCCATGCAATTGTGTTCACCCCCATAATTGAGTCTCAAATTTTATATTTCCAAGTATAGCTTTTAGGGCAACTCAGTAATTCGATGAGGAATCTGGGGAAAAATCAAGGTAAAAGGTAAAATCTCACTTGTTATCGTCATCCACTTCATGCATTTTAAATAACTTCAATTCCATCTTGTCATCACTTGAAGTCTTGTGATTCACTGGGGAGTCTATCATAAAAAGAACAGTCTTTATGTAATCCACCTGCACTGACTTTGAAGCTGCAATCTTTTTTATTGCTTCATCCAAGCTCTGCTGGCAACCTGGAAAGGGAAAAGAGACAGTGAGTGCTTTATCTCTTCTGTATCTGCTGCAAATGCACTGTAGGCCTTTGCCTTTTAACTCCGACTAGTTACCTTGGATCTGGAAGGCTTGTTCCCAATTGATAACATGAGGGCATGCCAGGATTTCCTCTAATTTGTTAGGATCTTTGGTGAAAATGTGGTAAGTGTTGGTATAATAATCCAAGTCATCTTTCATCTCCTGATATAACAAATATCAATCATATTTACAGAGCACTATAATTTACAAAATGTTCTTGTATAGGGATAGAGTGGAGAAGGTTTGATTGTTGAACACCCTCTGGTTTTCTAAGAGAGGTTGCACTCCCTTGAAGAATAACTCACTGTTGATACACTTAAGATGGTTCCTTTCTGACAGAGCACTGAAGTCAGCTGCCCTTAAGAGGGTGAGTAAGTAGCTACTATCTGGAATGGGAAGTATACTAGGAATAGTGTACATTAAGAACTCAAAAGAGAGGTTGCCTAAGGTATGGAAAGAAGTATGGGGAAGGGGGTTGGCAAGGCTCTGGGTCTTTGATGAGGTAATTCCTGAACTAATTCTGACCCAGCGCTCTGGGGCTGATTCAGTGATTGGCTCTGGATGTGCATGTGAATAGATAAGAGTTGACACTGGGGCAGAACTATCATGCTGATTTCATGCCAGAGATGAGAAGTATCTGGAATAGAGGACTCAGTCTGCCTCTACATGTCTGCTTACAGCCCCTTGGGAGTCCCTGCAGGTGAAAACACTCCTTAACAGTTTCTAGCCAGAGGAGTCTAAGCATAGCTATGGTCAGAATCCTGATGGAAAAGATTGACCAGATGGGATCCTAATGTTTATTTAGAGGTCCTAGATTATTGGTCATTTGAATCTAAGTTCAAGCCTTATCTCACTGTTCTTCCCCTTCTCCCAAGCAGCCCTTCTAAAACCTGCATACATCAGAGTAGTCAAGGTTCTTCTCCCCAGTCCTCAGCCTCCATTTCCACAAAGAGAACATTTGAGAGTAACTATAGATATTTAGTAGCTATTGCTCCTACCTCTTTCTTTGGTCGAGTGATGACCACCTGAAAATCTGGCCAAGCATCCACCAGCACCTCCAGGTTGAATGGGTTTTTATTTTTAATGTTGAAAACAGCACCATATACCTATACAAACAACAGAACATAACAGGAGAGGATGAAGATTTTTTCTGAGCTAGGGTCTTAGATGTGGCATAGGACATAAAACCCAGAGTTTTAGGAGGACTTGACAAGATGAGCCAGTGCTTCCAGGATGGTTCATTGGGCTACTCACTGAAAGGCATGCTGCTGTAAGAGGTCCAATAAGGTCCACAAAAATTTAAGTTAATAGCTGAATCATTAGGAACTGGCTTCCCTGACACTCATTTATTATTAAAAATGCATGTCTTTTCATTCATTTTTTCTCTAATTTAATAATATGCCATTTATTTGACATCTATTACATATCAGATCTGTGTTAAGTATGGAAATTCAAAATTAATATTATATGACTACTGCCTTACAGTTAAGTTTAGAAGCATAGAGAGATTCAAAGTTCAATCATAATTGGATGCACGTTCTGAGAGATGCATGCATATGGTGGTGTATGACCCCAAGGAGGAAATGCACTACCTATCTAGGAAATGGTGAGAAGACTTATGTAAGAAGTTCATATTTGAACGAGGTATTGATGGAAAAGTAAGGTCTTTTCCAGGAAGAATAAAGAGAGAATGAGGGAAAGTATCTCAGGTAGTATCAAAAGCATGACTGAAGTGCTTAAGGGCGTGGCAGATGATACCTGCTGAACCATGAGGGGCTCAGTGGTGGTACCATATGGTATATGGCAAGGGAAAGTTGGGAGGTAAAGTAGAAAAGGCTGAAACATTTTGTGATAAAAGCTGAGACCCCAGTTAAGCCTTTGAGATGGACTGCTACCATAATTTTTAAAACAAGGGAGTGATAGGATCCTATTTGTATCAGATGGATGACTCTCATCACCAAGTTGCAGATGGGCTGATAAGACTGGATACAGGGTGATATTGCAATTACCTACAAGAGAAGAGAAAATCCACCAAAATTGAAGAAAGAAGGTTTTAAAATATGTTTATGAGGTCACAAAAAAGGCAGAGTAGGTGATTGATTGGGAATAGAAATTCACATTATCCCTGCAGACAGGTTCTGACTTTAGACTTTTCTTTCTGTCTCTTCAAGTAAGATTCTGAGCCCTGAATCTGTCATCCTTATACTTCAGCCCTCTGTCCTCAGGTCTCCTCCCACTCCCTTACCTTCAAGGATTCGGGGTTGCTCTTTTCCAAAGATTCATACAGACTTTGCAGCTTCTGGGGTTCATGAAGCACAAACATCTTGTGTAGCCCTTCAGCCTTCTTCCCTCAGGAGGATTATCTAAGGAACCAAAAACACAAACAAAAATACCTGGAGAGATAAGCCAAGTGTCCAGAAAGAGGAGGAAAGAGAAGTCATCTGTGATACTATACATTGTTAGTGGTGAAGGGCTTTAGAAATTATCCAGTCCAAAACTTTCACTTTACAAATGATAAACTAAAGCCCAGAAATATAACTAGACCCCATAGCTCCTAAGAAAACTCCCTACAATTAGACTTAAAAAGTAACATAATATACCCAGTTAAAAAAAATTTTCCATGTCCATTTGACTAAAATCAAAACAAGAATCTGAGGAGTGAGTGCTTTTTGCTATCCAGATGCAAACAAAAAAATAAAGCATCTCTTCAGAGACTGCACCCCAGGGAATCCTCTAGGCTCCCAGGCACTGAAACACTGGCTCAAGGCTAACCATCAATACTCTTTGTTCCAGATTTAGTCAATTTTTTGAGAAAAATGTGGCTGCTAACAGAAGTTTTCAAATACAAAAGAAAATGCACAACAATAGGTTTTTTAGAGCACATAAAATTAGATACACAACATATAGTATGCACAAAAGGGAAATGGAAAAAAAGGTTGTGAGTAGCCCGTTGACACCATCTTTCTCACCCCTCTGCCACCCCTCTGCCATATCACAGTCAACTTCTGGCTTAACCTGATCCAATAGTCACTCTCCTATAATCATTCATTAAAATATGTTGAAGAATATACACATCTAACAAGATCAGAAAGGAAGAGGGACCAGTAAAAAAGATGGAAAAAGTGGCCAAGAATGAGTGTGAAAAACAAGAGAAGTATCCTAAAAGTCAAAATAGGAGAACCTATCAAGGAAAGAGTAACCAGGGAAGTCAAAGGCTGCTGAGAAAGCTGGACATCTTACAAGTACAAAAGGATATACACTGACTTTGTTGATTTCTAAAGTATTCTCCAGCTCCTCCTAAGGGGTTTCAGGTAAAAAATCAAATTACAGATAGAAATTATTTAGAACATGGATCCCAATGAATCAAAATGCTGAAGATTAAAAAAAAAAGACTTAGGCTGTTCAAAACATTTCTGCTTACCAGAAGTTTCTTCAGAGACTTGAATATACACCACCTGCTATAGTTGCTCAGTGTAGCAGTGGAAAGGCTTTGGTAGCTGACACTCTATAGACCCATCCACAGTAAATGTGAACTGACTCAGGTTGTCACTGTTTAGCATAAAGCTCCAAAAAGCTGTGGGTTCCTACTGAGCAAGCCAAATCTGTCCATTGACATGAAGTCAGAAACTTTGTGGAACAGAGGAAAACCGAACAACTTCTACAATTATAAGAAGTCTTACACAGGGAGCTTTTGATTTATACATTACCATTTGTAGCTGATGGGCTATCCTAAGGCAATATTAATAAGGCTATTTTACATAGGTGGAAGAAAAGATCCGCCTGCAATATTATTTAAATGGTGCCATTAGGGTAAACAAAAGAGTTGGAAAACCTGGCCTAGTACCTTCAACCATATGTGACTTGGGAAAAACCAAGAATGCCTCAGGGAAGTTATTGAAATTAGGAGAACTGGGTTTCATATCATGTGTTCTTTGTCACCTGAAGTGGTGGATGGAGAAGGGAAGTATTGCAAATGCAAGAAGAAAAGGAAGATACTGGACAGAAGTTTAAGAGGGACTAGAATTAGCTTTGGAGAGGAATTGAGATAAAAATATTTTCTCAATGTGTGCTCCTCACGCCAACCACTTCAAAACTAATTGAACTTGCTTGTTAAAAATATAGGAACTTTTCCAGATTAAATGAATCAGAGTTTCCTAGAGTGTCTGGAAATCTATATTTCATTAAAGAAAACTATTTAAAAGAACCTGATCTACATTAACATTTTGGAGACATTGAGATTGAGGAAACAGAAGATAAAAGTTATCAAATTTTTATGCTGGGCATGGTGGCTCACATCTGTAATCTCAGCTACTTGAGAAGCTTAAGCTACAGGATCTCTGGAGGACAGGAGATTGAGAACAGCCTGGGCACATAACAAAACCTGTCTCTAAAAAGATTTTTTTTTTAAATTAACCAAGCAAGCGTGCTAGTGCACAACTGTAATCCCAGCTACTTGAGAGGCTGAGGCAGGAAGATAACTTGAGCCCAGGAGTTTGAGACTGTAGTGAGTTATGACCATGCCACTGTATTCCAGCCTGAGTGACAGAACAAGATCCTCTCTCTAATAGAAAAATAAAATAAATATTAAAGAATATATATTAGCCGGGCTTGGTGGCTCAGCCTGTAATCCCACGCCTTTGGGAGGCTGAGGTGAGTGGATTGTCTGAGCCTGTGGGTTCGAGACCCACCTGGGTGGCTAGACCTCATCTCTACAATAAATCAAAAAATCAGCCGGGCGTGGTAGTGCGCGCCTGTAATTCTGGCTACTTGGAAGGCTGAGGCGGAAGGATCGCTGGAGCCCAGCAGGTCGAGGCCGCGGTGGCCGGGAGCAGCCACTGCACTCCAGTCTGGGCAACAGAGTGAGACTCCAACTCAAAAAAAAAAAAAATAATATATATATACATATATATGTATATGTATATATATACACACATATACATATATATGTGTATATATATATATAATGTATATATATATATATATATAAAACCCACTTTGTGAAACTATATGGAACAACGTCATACATTTTGAATAATTTATGAAATGAGAAAGTTAAAATTTATTTTTATACAAATAAGGAAGATGGTGTTCATAAAGAATGAATGTCTTCACCAAGGTCACAAAACTAGCCAGAGGGACTAGAATTAGCTTTGGAGAGGAATTGAGATAAAAATATTTTCTCAATGTGTGCTCCTCACGCCAATGTCTGACTCTGGGGTCAAACGTCAGTTCCTTTTAATGACACCACAATTACTCAGAGAGTGAGTCCCTACACTTGGGCATAAATATTTGATGCATTTATGTCTTAGAAACCTATTTCCTTCACTCTAGGTGACATATTAAAATTTATCATTGAGAATATAACTTTATCTAGGTATGTGACTGTTATGTAAGGCATTGAGTCTTATAGTTTTAGTGACTGTTTTTTGAACCAAAAGTGAATCACACAATCTATCAAATAATGTTTATGTATTTATAATTGTATATAATTAGTTTCTTAAAGCTATAATAGAATCTATAATACTGAGTGATCTATCACAGAAACAAAGAACTGAGTACCACATGTTCTCACTCATAAGTGAACCTTGTACAATTATCATAATACTATAAGAAAAGGATTGGTAGTAGTTGGAAACTGCCAGTGGGGGAAGGGTGGGATTGACAGTAGTGGGAAATTGCCAGGGGAAAGGGGGCACATCTCATCAACAAAGGTACCTGCATAATGAACATTTGTATACCTAACCCTGAATTGTACCTCACATCTTCAAAATAAAAATAAAAATTGAGACCATGAGCAACCATGGTTTTAAAAATAAATATATTTTCTAATCTAAAATAATAATAATAATATAAATTGTGTAGAATAATACAATTAATTCATCATCCTTTTTTAAAATGATGACCTATTTCAGCTAGTCAATACACTTTTTTTACATGCTTGCGATCACACAGTGGCTAGTTGAGAGCCCACAATTTTTTATTCTACATTGAGTATTACATAAGTAATTTCTCAAGCCATGAGACATTTTATAATTATAATTTATAATGGTTAGACAATTGAATTGGCCATCTTAAAGATCATTGTATTACATGGCATTCAGACTCTCCTAAACTACAGACACATAGAAGACATAATTTCAGATGTGTGGTTCCTGGAAGTATCATTCCTTATTTCCTTAGAACTTCAGAAGTGAGTAAGTGACATGTGGAAAGGGATTCGTCAGCCATGTTAAGAAGTTTCTAAAATTCATCACATGGGTTATGGTAAGTTATTGGAAAGTTGGGACTGGAGAAACATGGTGAGGAGAAAGAAGGTGACTGTTGGAGGGATACACAAAAGAGATTATGGCCACTTGAGCTAGTGTAATAGTCCATTGAGATGGATAGATTTGAGACAATTAAAACAAAGAACTGACAGAATTTGGTGATTGATTGAGAAAGAGGGAGAAGGTTATTTCTAGGTTTCTGGATTGATTCTCTAGAAGCATCAATAATCTTAATTCTCTGAATGGAAATAACATATGAATTGATAACATTTTTCTTGAAGTCTTTTTCATATTTTAGTGACTGTAAAACCAAATGGTTATCTATATATTTATGAATGTGCTTCCTTTGACAGGGTTTTCAAAGACTCACTCATTCTAAACTCAGTTCCTTTATTATTTATTTTTTATTTTTATTTTATAATCAATATTTTTTATTATGATATTGTGGGGTACAGTTAGGGGTAAGTATACAAATATGTTTCATTCAGGCACCCTTGTTGATAAGAGGTGTCTCCCCGTCCCCAGACAGCTATTTACTTTAACCCTATTTCCATAAGCTCATATGTTTCTCAATAACAAATTCTGCAGTGGAGGTTATTAGATTCTCAACCCCATCTTCATCCTCACCTCATGTTTCATGAGGAAGAATTTGCTATTTATCATGGAAGTTTTTAAACTCTACTTATTAACATTCAATTAGAAAACAATAAGAAAGTAACTAACTGAAATTCAAAATGTTCCTAAATTGCCTGACTATGGGTTTTGAATAATAATGACTAACATTTTTTTGAAAAATTAAAAATATGGCCATTCTAACATATTGTTTCATTTGATCCTCACAACAACCTTATTGAACAAGCATTACTATTATCCATATTTTATACAGAAGAAAGTTTAGATTTTTAAAAAGGTCAAGTAGCTTGCTCAAAATTACACAGGATTAAATTAGCTGAGCCAGGACTCAGAGCTATGTAGTATGGATCTACAGACTAAGGCCCCAGAACTTTTGCCAAGGGCTTCCAACTGAAATGTGAAGACAAATGTACAAATATTATTA